GTGGTATATATACACAATGGAATATTATGCAGCCATCAAAACGAATGAGATCTTGCCATTTGCAATGACGTGGATGGAACTGGAGGGTGTTATGCTGAGTGACATAAGTCAATCAGAGAAAGACATGTATCATATGACCTCACTGATATGAGGAATTCTTAATCTCAGGAAACAAACTGAGGGTTGCTGGAGTGGTGGGGGGTGGGAGGGACGGGGTGGCTGGGTGATAGACATTGGGGAGGGTATGTGCTATGGTGAGCGCTGTGAATTGTGCAAGACTGTTGAATCACAGATCTGTACCTCTGAAACAAATAATGCAATATATGTTAAGGAAAAAAAAAGAAGAAGAAGAAGACAGCAGGAGGGGAAGAATGAAGGGGGGTAAATCGGAGGGGGAGATGAACCATGAGAGACGACGGACTCTGAAAAACAAACTGAGGGTTCTAGAGGGGTGGGGTGTGGGGGGATGGATTAGCCTGGTGATGGGTATTAAAGAGGGCACATTCTGCGTAGAGCACTGGGTGTTATGCACAAACAATGAATCATGGAACACTACATCAAAAACTAATGAGGTAATGTATAGTGATTAACATAACAAAAAATTTAAAGAAAAAAAATAAATAAAATCTTGTGAAATGACGCACTTAATGATGGAATGAAAAATAAATTTACACTGATGTAACTTTTTAATTTAAAAAAAGTTTGGGAAACTTTTTTATAAACAGTATATCAGTTTCAAAGATCCCAGGAAGGTCACTTCCCACTTGAGGACTTAATAAAATAAGAAACCTATCTTCTAGACTAGATAGGTCATCCCTACATCTCTGAGGTTATGCATAGGAGAAAACTGGCCTTTATTTCACAATATTATTCTACTATGATTACTTTGAGATAGTTCATCAACATAAAATGTCCACCTGTTTGGGTTTCACTATTTAATTCAACTAAAATTTATGCTTTCTAGACTGTCTAAATAGAACTATATACATATGTATTTTTAAAATGTCTGACTCCTTTCACTTAGCATTACATTTCTGAAGTTCAGAATCTTGTCACATGTAGCAATAGTTAATTTGTTTTCAAATATCAACCCACTGTATGAACATACCACAATATATTTATCCATTCTACTGTGATGGATTTGGGGGTGTTTCTGGTTTGGGGCTAATACAAATAAAGCTACTATGAACATTTTTGAACACATCTTTTGTTATATGTGTGCAAAAAAGTACTAATCATAAAGGAAAAAATTGACAAATTGGACTACATTACAATTACAATGAAGAACTTCACTTCATCAAAAGTACCATTAAAAGAAAGAAAAGGCAAGGTAAAGCATAGAGAAGATGTCTGCAAATAAATAGCCAATAAAGGACTCACCCAAAATATGTAAAAAACTCTTACAAGTCAATAAGAAAAAGACAACATATTGGGAAAATGGGCAAGACACTTGAATAGGCAGTTCACAAAAGAAGATATGCAAATGATCAAAGACATTTATTAGGGAAATGCAACTTAAAACCATAAAGTACCACTACACAGACCACAGAATGGCTAAAAGATTGACAATACCAAGTACGAGCAACAACATGGAACAACTAAAGGGAATTCTTGGTACACACTAGGAAAACTGGCGTTATCAACTAAAGATGAACATACACATATCTTATGATCCTGCAATTCCACTCGTAGGTATAAACTCAGCAGAAATGTATGTACATGTAAACCAAAACAGATGTACCAGGATTGCACACAATGGCATTATTTTATATAGCTGTGACTTTTTAAGTTAATTTTAAAGAGTGAGAGTTTTAATGTAGTTATTATTTAAAGCTGTTTTTCAGCTCAAAAACACAGTATTAGTTTATTTGTACCTCAAAGCACACACACTATAGAAGTAACCAAAATAGTGTTATTACAAATAGTCAATAGGGACAATACGGAGCACTATGAATGCAGAGAGGAAAGAAATGTCTAACGAGGGCTAGTGGAGAAGGCTTTACAGAGATGATGTCTGAAATGGTTTGTGAAGGATGAGGAAAAGTTCAGCAGACAGAAAGGAGAGCAAGGCAGAAGATGCTTAGAAGAGACATGGCTTATCCCAGGAATGGCAAGCACTTCCATATGCCTAGAATGCAGTATGCCTGAGGGAAGAGAGAGATTTCTGTGAGACTGGGGGAGAACATAAAGCTGGCTCAAGAAATGAAGGACCTAAGCACATGAAGTGTGAATCCTGTTTCACAATGGAAAGTTTCATTGATAAGATGCTTTGTAAGTACATTTTCAGCTATTCCATACTTGTCTATATTCTTTCTAAATAACTTGCAAGCTCAGAGGGGAAGAGACTATATTTTTTGTTTTTCTTAAACTCCTTCAGGGTCCACAGCAATTATCTAATAAATGAAGGTGCCTGTTAATTTCGCTCCACCCCCACCTCAGCCTAAACACAGAGGTTCCTAATCTGTAACAATTTATGCAAAGGTTTATTTATGTTTACTTCTGTTTCAGAATACTCAAAGTCCCTATTCTGATAAGGGTTAAAGGTGCTTAGAATCAGATGAGAAGAAAAACAGCCTTAGAAAACGCTTCAAGGGAAACTAAATGGCAAAGAAAGCCAGACTAGGCAGTCTTGCCCACCTCCTCACACTTCTCTCCCATTTCAGTTACATCAGAGGTTCCCAAACTTAGCTACACATCAGAGTTCTCTGGGGAGCTTCTTAAAAATACAGATTTCTGGGTCCTATCTTCAGAGAGTTGGATTCAACAGGTGGGGATGGGAGGAGGGGGGCAGGAGAGGTATGTTTAAAAATCTCCAAAGCTGTGAACTGATTTTATAGAAAGAAGCAAATCTCCACTTGCTCAGAATACCACACTGAAACTGTAGCCCTCCGAAGTTCCAAAGAGGGCATCATGTGATGCTTCAGCCATCGATACTAACCTTTTAACACATGCCCAAAGGGTAGGACAAAACATAGCCTGAATCCAAATCTGATTTATGGTTGGAGTAAAATACATGAAAAGGAAAAAGTAACTCTGAATGTTCATTCTGTGAAGCGAGGGATCACCTACCTGGCTCTGGGACTCCAGTTTAATTTCCTCAGGAGCAGGTTTGGTCATTGGGGTGGGGTTTGTGTTACAAGGATCCATCTGTTCTTTCTTTTCCACTTTCACTTTTACATCATCCAGGCTCAGGTTTGGAGTTGATCTTAAATCTTTCTCATCTTTATCTAAAAGATATCGTAGGAGCTGATGGTCTTTTGATTCTTTTTTCTTTGAAGCATCCAGTTCTAGTTTCACACTCGAGCTCCCTTGTACCTGTCCAGTCACGGATACAGAAGTAGATGAACTGTCCTTTTTATCAGGCTCAACAGACAAAGTGGTGATATCCGAGGGGCTACCCTCCTGGAGGAGCCGGTGCAAAATCTTGTGCCGCTCTGTCAGCGAGCTATGAGAGGAGGGGCAAGAACCGCTTGAGGAGTTAGCAGAGGCAGAGCTGGAAGTGCCTGAGCAAGACAGTACCTCTTTGCAACTTGTGTCTATATCAGCATGCCGCAGCTGCTGCTCTGCAGTTGTTGTCAAAAGCTGCACTAGTTTGTGACTGGTTTGAGAGTATTTATTGTCTCCATCTGAGAGTCTGTCATTGTTATGCAGAAGCCCAGAATCCAGAGGTTTGCCATCACTAGAGCTGTTGTCAGACTGAATCATTTCATTTAAAATGGATGCAATCTCTTTGTTATCTTTGGACTCAGCTTTTGCTGGTTGTATATTTAATCTGCTAGGTGAATTCTGTGAGCTCATCTGCCTGAGGACTGGAGAACTGGCAGAGAAGCCAACAGAGTTATTGGGTCCTTCATTCATGCTCTGTAAAGATGTTACTGGGATGTTTGAGTAAGATCGGTTACTATTATTACAGGCAGTACCTGTCATGACAACGGGGGAGCTTAATGTTGGAATATTAGGAGGGAACGAATTGTTTGGCATCCTGGGCCTTGGTGCCAATCCAGAACTAACTTGTCTCCTCGGAGACATGAACTGTGCAAGAGATATTCCTGTACCTTCCATAGGAGAATTATTGAGGTTTAAAGAGGGGTTAGTGCTCTGGGAACTGGTCTGTCCCTGGTTTAAGGCAACACTGGCTACAATCTGATTTCCAGGTGAGCATCCAAAACTCCCTTGGCTGTTGCTAGAATTACTATGACTGCTGCTATGGAGGTCTGAGCTCTGTTGGCGGTTTACTCTGGGGGATACCATGTTGTTGCTGGATGGTGGCAATGTGGATGAACGGGCCACACCATGAGCTGGCGAGATACTAGAATTGACGGAGGGGTTTACTCGGGGAATTGACATTCCAGAATTAGTGTCATCTTGAGGAGAAAGACCACTGTGTTCCCTAGGGGGGGGAAAAAGACATTATTATTCAAACATCTTCACTGGTTTCCATTAAAATATTTTTATGATGCATATTATAAACCAAGACCATTAACCTCATTAATATTGCAAGCCATCAAGTAAAGAGCTTCTCTGTATGACTTTAAATTAAGGAAAAACAGTGGACTGTTAGTGCTACTGTGAAATATTAGCACCACTTAATAGGAAACAGTGCTCATGGTCTCATAAATTTGATAATGGTTTCAGTTATACGAGAAAGAAATCTTCCTTGGTCTTGGAAAAAATCCAATATATGTACTTTAAACTTTTCAAAATTTAATACAAATACTTAACATTAAAATAATATCTTTGGTTGAAAGAGAAACTTCCCACACCTCTGTTTACAAAAAGTCTTTTATTCATGACTCCCTTGTTACAGCTTTTAAGTATTTCAACTCCAAAGAGGAAGACTGGGTAAGGAAAATACTGTGTCACTGATGTAAAAATTAAAAAGGGTGATATGCAGACATAGCAGATGTTTTGAAAGAGAAATCACAATATGAAAAAAAGAACTGTGCTAATTCCACTCACAAGCATAAATTAAACTAAAATTAGAAAAAAACAGAATACTGAATTCAGATTTTCATCGAGCTCTTTACTCAAATCCATAATTATGACAACAGATTTGTGACTGGTATTACCATGTTCCAATAAGCAAATATATCAGATGAGGAAAAGATGAAGTGAGGGGAAATGTCTTTGTTTTTGTTTAATGCTACATTTTAAATAGTTGCAAATGTAGGGTTTTGAATAATTCATAGGATAAAAGAATGGTTCCATGAATTTACCATATATACCAATGTAAAATGTATTTAGAGAGAAGAACAAATTAGAGGCAATGACAGTCAAAAATCTCAAGTTGATAGTTTAATGACTTGTGGTTTGAGAAACTGTCAACTTGAACTCAGGAGCCATCGAGTTTGCCCTAATGAGAATACAGCACTTTTAAAAATAAAAACAACAATATTAACAAACTCTGAAATCTTTTATAAGACCAAAGTTCACATACAGAAAGTTGGCTATTTTTAGCCACCTTTTTGGTTTTTACCCCTAAAACACATATTTTCAGCCTAACCTTTCCTGTGTTCCTTTCTTTCTTTTTCTTTCTTTTTCTTTCTTTCTTTCTTTCTCTCTCTCTCTTTCTCTCTCTCTCTTTCTTTCTTCTTTTTTTTAACAATAAGGTTATTGCTAGGCGAAAAACCTATAAAACCCAGTATGGATATAGTGATTATATACTCATCACACTAGCTTAATGCCTAACTTAGAATTTTTGTTTTCTAGCCATCAGGAGTATTAAAAAATTTTCTCTAAGAAGAGATATATGAACTGACTTATTTCATATGAAGCTCTCCAAATAAGTAGTACCTGTCGATGATATGAATTCCCATGATGAAAGGTTGCATGTCTGGACTTTGAGGGTAGCAAAGTTTACACTTGGTGTGGGCGCTAAGCATTGTCCCATCATTCAATATGAATCTATAGGATGGGCTGGAGGCAGTGCCACGAGTCATCACTGTTTCAAACAAAAGAAAAACCTAGTTAAAATTCTGACACTTGTACTTTGGGCAGAGGAGAGTTACCAAGCCTTATTTCTACCTTGAACCTCATTTTAAATGCCCTCCCGACAGCTGCTTGCGCAGACTCAAAATAAAGAATAGTTCAGACAAAGCAGATATCTGAGGGCGGGGGGAATGATTCTGGTTGAAATAGACCACTTGATGACAAGTTTTAATTCAGTACTACTTGAATGAGTGCCTCCTCATATAAGTTAAAATTATGAAGAAACTTCAAACCAGGAAAAAAAAATCAACCTTAGTATTTCCCCATAATGGGACAGTTCTTCAAATTTATTAAGTGTCCATTAAAAATACCAGGAAGTAATCTCCCTTCTCCCTTTCGGAATTATCTCTATCAATTTTTTTTTTCCTTTTGCTGGCTGATTTTTTTAACAACAGCTTTACTGAGATATAATTCATATACCATTAAATTCACCCTTTATGTTTTTATTAGTTTGCAGAGTCGCTTAACTGAAATTCAAATTTAATTTTTCACTCAGGAATGTGAATCACTAAAGTCCCATCTGACAAATTAGTGTATTCACATATTATTTTTTATGTTTGAATTTAGTGGAGGAAGTAAATTAAGATAAAGCCAATCATGACTAATATAAAAAACAAAAACTAGGTTAAGGCAGTCAAATCACTAATATAAACAACATAATTTACTTTTGTCTTAAAGGTTTATTAATAGCAGACAAAATTCTAACCATATTGGCAAGTATTTATTAAATATGTAAAGGCTATACCAGACTACTAAAGTAAGAAAACGTCATTGATGTTTTAGCAGTATAATAAAATTCTCTTTTAAGATTTAATAGGTAGATTCAGCTATACCAAGGTTAAAAATCATATTCATGGAAACACAAGAATTACTACCATAAATGACTATTACAATTTAGCCTGTAATGAAAGTTAGTACTATTTTTCCAAGACATTTCAGAAAGCCCTTCTATTACATTTTAAAGACATGTTAAAAAGACTTAAAATGAGCAATTAATAAATATTTTTTTGAAACTACATATTACTTTAAGTAAAGAGAAGACATACTCTCTTTTATTGCTTTGGGCATACCTTACGTACTGAAGAGGGCATAATCTGTTGCAAATCTATACCACACACAAATCAGCCTAAGTACCAAAATTACGATATAAACTTAATGGAAAGGATTAAGACTGATGTCCAACCAATCACATTCTTTACCCATCTGGCAATTTCAGCCAAATCACTGGTACATTTACCAAATATAACACATGGAGAAATTTAGTACCAAATGAAATAATAACTGATGAAAGAGAGTCTTAAATGAAATGGATAATTTTTGTATAAGGATATAAATAAATGTTTTGCTATAGCAAAACCCTAAAAAAATTTAATGATTTCAAACTGTTAAATCTTTTTAACAGTATTTTGGAAGATACACCTACAACAAAAAAGTAGCATTTCAAGATAAATTATTAATCTGGGATAATGATAAAGCTACATTATATAAAGGGCCAAGCAAGACACAATATATTTCATGTTATTTTGCTTATGCCATTTTGTCTCTTCATCATTGTTTACTGCTCTTTAGGGTCTCCCCATTCTGCTGGAAAACACTGGCTCTTCACTACTGAGCTGTACTGTCACCAGCCACATGTGGCTATTTAAATTTAAAATTAAATAAAATTTTAAATTCAGTTCCTCAGCCACACCACATTTCAACTACTCAATAGCCACATGTGGCTAGCATCTCCCATACTGGACAGTACAGTATACATATATACAATCTGACTTCAACTTATATTTCCAATCTTATTTTTCATTGCTTCCTAAACATTTCTTCTGTGTCACTTTAAATAAAGGTAGATAACTTTACACACTTATTTTCTTCATCAGCTAAAATAAGCATAAGGGCTAGTACTATGTCGCATGCTTGTTTTCCACTCTCCTTGAATCTTGCATGAAGCTTTGCATATAAAATCACCCAGTACTTGCTAATTGACCCTCAACTTGAATCTCATGTAAACAGATTAATATTGACTTGTGATCAACTACCACAACATTTCTTTAAAGGACAGATTTTAGATCTTAGCTGTGTTCTCAAATGCTTATATCTCAATTTATGTTCTTGCTCTCATAGGAATCTGGACTTAACTTTTGTAATGAAAATTAATGGAAAGAAATGTCTTGATTTGTTGATAAGCCCTATAAAGTGAGAAAGAACTAGAAACTCAGACTAGCATGGAAACATTAAGATACTGAATGTGGATTACACAGAAACATCACTGGCCCGCCCTTTGTAACTATGCTGTCTTAACTTGGAACTCTATCTATCTAAACTAATAAAAATTCCAAAATTGAGAACCCCTATTAACTTTATATAAGGAATTTACTGCACTTTAAGTTTTGAAGTTAGAATATTTTGGATGATAACGTGTGGAGAAAAGACTTAGCATACATAATAATTCACACATTCTTTGAAAAGGAAAAAAGGTAATATAAACTATAATAAAACTTTAATTATTAGAACTTAAGACTATCCAGTTAACTAGGGGCACCGGGGTGGCTCAGTCATATAAGCATCTGCCTTTGGCTCCTGTCATGATCCCAGGATCCTGGCATGGAGCCCCACGTGGGACACCCTACTCAGCTGGGAGCCTGCTTCTCCCTCTCCCTCTGCCCCTTCCCCCTGAGCACGCGCACTTGAGCGCCCTTGCTCTCTTTCTAATAAATAAATAAAATCTTAAAAAAAAAAAAAGACTATCCAGTTAACTAAAATTCTTCTGGTGCTCAATTTTTCAGATGGAGAGATAAACAGGAAGGTAGCATGGATCAATGAAAAGAACAAGAGTTTAGAAGTCAGATTTAGGCTTGAACTCTGACTTTGTCATTTACAACTTCAGGACTTCATAATGCAAATTAACCTTCACCCATCATCACTAAAACTGAGCCAGTAATATTGTGAGATAATATCTAGTATGGAGCCTAGTACGTAGCAGGTACTGAATGAATATTTCCTGAAAAACACCAAAGAAAACACAAATACAAAGTACCTATGTCCTGAGTCATATACACATTCAGCCAATCCCTAGATACTATTCACACCAACAGCTTCAATCTTATAAAACAATCATTAATATTTTGAATTAAGACATGAGTAAGGGCGCCACAGTTCTTTACAGAGCTGGCTGGATAAACATTTGCTCCGCACACCAAATTTTCCCCATAAATGGGTTTCAAGGTTTACGACTGGACAAAACTATTTGGAATGTCACTGATCACAGGTCCCGGCCTTGTCTTCCAGTCTCGTTTTGCCAGGTACATAGCTAGCTAGTATTGTGATCCCTGCCTCCTGTGTCCATTTCTAAAATTTTTAGAACACTTAGTGGGGAGGGATACTATTGATGTGGTATTACTGACACCCCCCAGAAACTCTTCTAGGAACCTTTTAAAATAACAACTGTTTTGTTTTGTTTTCCTCTCTGGAATAGGCCTCAACAGAGCTATGAAGCAAAGAAAAACATTTTCTCAGATCATAGCAGCTCTAAGAGTAGAGCTATTTGGGTTTTTGACTCCAACCAATTTGGTACCAAGATAACCTCAACAAGCATGCTTTACTGATGTTAACTAAATGGGCAGGTATAAGATGTGCGGTAGGGTACTACCGGTCAAAGCTGGTAGAGATTTCTTTTTCCTTTTGTTATTTCCCTAGATACATGCAGAAAGAATGCAATTAAAAAAAAAAAGCTGTTCCCATGACTGCTACTCTCCCTAAATGCTGATAGATGTGCTACAGGAATAAGTATTCTGAGGAAAAATAAGTCTGGATAACAAAGTCAAACAGGTACCTTTATTGCAGAGCCTCCCAGAAACTTAAATATATGTTAAATATATGTCTTATGAATTCTCAAGAGTGGGAGACTGAAACATTCCCCAAACTTAATTCAGTATGAAACATCATTCCCTAGTTACAGCTATTAATATCTTGTGGAATGTAGGTTTATGTTCTCCAAACTTCTCTGTAAGAAAACATCTTAGACTATAGACTGATTCAGTAGTGTGGGTGGATCCAGAAATCTGGCTTAACAACTGCCCTGGATGAATGTTATCAAGGACCCTTGGGAAGTATTTCACCTAAACCTTTCTTAAAGGAATGGTTCTCAATTGAACTCAATCTGGGAAACTTCCAAACCACATACCCCTACAGAGACTTCCTCCTCCTAGTTTAAAAAGTTCCTCAGGTGATCCTGATACCCATTTCCCCCTAATCTCAGTGGAGAACTACTGCTGTAATCTAGTTCATGTTGAATGCCCACATATTGTTTGACTGAAATGTGTTTGTTTTGTTTTGTTTTTCAAATTTGATTCTGGAAAATAAAATGGTAAACCCCCTTTAAAACCTGTCTCTGTCAAAAGCAGCTGAAAAACCAAGCTAAGAACTAAAGTTTAATGCATATTAGGATTTTCTACCAGCCATTGCCTTCCAAAAGTAAGTTAATGGGCAGGGAAATAAAAAAAGACTCAATCACTATAGAGTTTTACCAACTTTTAACTTTTTGAAAGTTTCACACAAAATCAAGTTTCACACAATGGCATAATTTCACTCTTTTCACACTCTCCTTAAGTGAAGAAGGAGCAATGGAACTGCATATACAAATTTACACCTCCCCCAACTCTGATAGACCAATGGATCTCACACTGGATGTACTTCAACGCTGCTGCTGGAGCTTCAGATACCTGGGCCCTCACAGGAGATTTTAATGCAGCAGGCCAACATCTTTAGCAGATGATCCCCATGTGAGTGTTTCATGGACCACAGTTTTCTTACCAGGTTAGATACTACTGAGTATGAAATATCAGAAAAAGATGTGTTCAGTCCATGAACACTGTTAGGCAAATTGCCCAGAATCTCCAAAACTATAAAATCAGAGTCATGTGAACTCTGGACAACGGTGCTGAGAAAAATACAAGTTATCTCTATTGAGGAATGTTTTCTTCCCCCAAAAGTGGAAGAAAAGGACACGAAGAAATTACTAATGGGAAAGTGGTGTTGAATTACATTTCTTTACATTCTACTCTAAATTGTTTTATTTCATATATTAATGATAGTTACTTGTTATACTTTAATCAATCTGTTTTATAGAGAATTTTAATGGTTTAGAAACACATGAACTGTGGTTCAGTCATATCTACAGGGAGCCTAGTCATTTAGACAATAAGACAATAATCTAGACCTGCTTTGCCTTGGTGCAAGTATATATAAATTACAGGCAAATAAAATTAAAAGTCTTTCACATAAAGTCTTGGAAGGCCCAACTTATAAAGTTAAGGTAAAAACCAAAGAGCATCATATACTTTAGCATTTTCAGCAGTGAATGGAGAGAGTGCTCCGAGTCTCAAACTTAGGCAAAAGTCAAGTGCCATTATTGGTAGAGGGAGTCACGAAGTCTGCAACCAGTAAATGGCATTAGTTGCTTATTGCAATGGTTTCCAAACCTGACTGCACTTCAGGATTGCCTGGGAACTTTTAAAAAATGTAGGTTCTTGGTCCTATCTACTGAAATACCATCTTTGGGGAAGGTATCAGTCTAGTAAGAGGCCCACTGGAGAACCCTTCGTCTATAGGAAGTTGTCCCAGAAGTAACCAGACTAGTGAGGTTCATATAGATGGCTTCCTGGAAAAAAAAAAAAAATCAAGCTGCTTCCTCTCCATGTACCGCCTGGAAGCAGTTGACCTAAAATGTAACTAATGGAAAATCATCTATAAAGTTAGGAATCCTAATATTACAGGGAAATATTAAAATTAAGAAGGGTGATGGAATAATGGAAAACATTTTTAAACTATTTTTCAGGAGGAGCCATACAAAGAGTCTCTTTCCAAAGAAACTATTAGAGAACAGAGAATAAATTATACAGGGAACTGAGTATTAGGCTAACATAATTACGTGACAATATTTTTAAAGTATATCAAAACCCTCACCACCTCTGAAACTCTATGAACTTTCTCAAATAATTTTCCCTGTTTCCTGTAATACTGTTAAGTTCCTTAAGGGCAGAGAATATACTTGTTTTATCTCCCACAGTACCATAGCATAGCATCTATACAATTAATTTCATATGACATATTTTTAACTTGAAACTTCAACCTAAGTCAGGTGATACAGGTACCGTAACAGGAATGAAGTCAACCTGTGGGATACAGATTTCTGTATTATCTAGAAGCCCTTTTACACATGCCTGTTGTGCTGGGAATGATCTTCAAAAGTCAGACGAAATTATCACTTCCCCTCCGAAGCCATCCCTGATTCTCCAAGTCAGAATTAATTTTTTTCTTCTTTGGTTATACCTCTGGGTATAAGCCCATGTCACACTGATCTTTAAAGTCATATATTGTCCTAGTATATTTTCAGCTCATTGAGGGCAAAACCCTGCTTCTTACTCATTGTTGTACCCCTGCCACCTGACATAGTGTTCTATGTATGTGAAGAACTTGGGACATGTCTGCTGAATGAACGAATGAATGAATGAGTGGGTGGGTGAGTGACCACCACATGATACCCTGTTCTTTAAAATGTGCATCCCAAATTCAGGATCCACTCATGAATGACTTTGCTTACCCATTTCTTCCTTTCCTAAGACTGATTATTGCAAAAACTGTAATTTGGAGAAAATACTTATCAAGCCATAAGTTCTATATAAATTACTTCAATATTAATAAAAAAGCAAGGTGAATGAAAATAATTAACAGGAAAAAAAACCTTACCTTCTTGAAATAGTTGTCTGGCGTAAGATGGTTCTCTGCCCTGGGGCTGGAAAAAAGCATAAATGCACTTCCTCACTAAATCTTCCCAGCCAGTTCTGCCGGCAGCTCTCAGGGAACTGGTATCAATAGAGATGATTTTACCTACACGAAGAACGGAAGTTTCCATTTGTGATAGCCTCTTGACATAAGTCATCCACCCATATTTCAAAATCAACAACTACATCTAAGAAATTTGCTGCTGTCCCTAAATGCTTAGTGGACAAACACATTAATAAACACTACTAATTTTTATTACATACGATAACAGTGTATCCTTACACAATAATAAAAAACTATTTTGGCCTTGGAGTGTGTAATATGTTAGCATATCATATTCTAAAATTCAATTCCAGTCAAGTATTAAAATCGTACCATAAAAACCTGAAGCTGCACAGACTAACACAAATCCAACTCCTCTGGTTTGCTCTTTGGATTCTACTCTCTGTATACTAATGACTGGATCACTTATTGGGAAAGGAGAAACAGAGATGAAATATATTATTTTGGTTTAAATTAATTTCCAATAATTAAGTGAAAAGAATATGAGAAAGTAAGCAAAACTTTCCTTTTCTACCTCTTCTTGGGCCGTAGGCAATACTGCATTTAAGAGTAAAAAAAGACCGAGGGCAACAGAAGTTATATCAGAAAAAGATAACAAGTGAGAACATTAAGACTGGCTAGATACTCTGCACACAGAACATATGCTTTATAAAATGTAGTAGTGATTTGCTATTATCATACTTGAACAAATTTCCTAGAAGGCTATGGAAGAATTCAGGTAAATTATTCCTTAGGTAACCAGGGGCCAATTATTCCAGTTTGGCATTATCCAGATAAGTTCTACCTTTTTATGCAATCTTATATTAACACAAAATAATATAGGTAAGATATATACATGTATAGAATTAGATTAATAAAATGAAAACCTGCAAACCCACCATCCAACTTCAGAACTGGAACATTACCTATTCCATTCCATGATGTGTGTACTCCTCACCTGTCACATCCCTCTGTTTTTACATTCTCCTGTCAAGGGACATCTAAATTGTATCCCATTTTTTTGATATTACAATCAATGCTGCTGTGAACACTGTCTACATTTTCCATGATGCATGTGTGTGAGAGCTTCTCTAGGGTACATACGTAGGAACAGAACTGTTGAGTCATAGGTTATGTGAATATTCAACTTTATAGCATTAAACAGTTTCTTAGAAACTTATATAAGAGCTACTGTTAATCCAACATCCTCTCCATCACTTGGGATATTGTCAGGCTTCTTTATATTTTACAATTAGTAGCTGAAAAATGTGTTTGATCTAAATTTGTACTTCCCAATTAATGAGTTTGAGAATTTTTCATGTTTCCTCTTCTGTGAATCGCTGATTTGTCTTTTCCTTATCTTCCCTCTTCTCACAACAAACTCAAATCTGTTGTACTATTTGTGCATCTTCATTTTAACTAATCCCTTCTTTAAGTTTTTCACTTGGTTTGCTTGGAATTTATTAGGCCTCTTTAACTCAGAGTCTTGAATCTGATATATCTGAATCTGTCTGATAAGGCTGTTGCCCAAGTCTTGGCATAAATGTAAATAGTAGAAAGAAAAGAAATTTAAACTTAAAGAAAGGAATTTTGTTATTTAAGAATAGTTTGGGAAAAGCGTGGTGAACACTTGACTGCAACTACAGACAATTCTGGATTTTCTAAGAATTATAATTATTTAACCTGTGTCTCTAATTACATCAGAGGTCAAGAGTTGGTTATAGCAGAGAATCGACTGTCACAGGATCTTCACACGCAACAATGCTCCTCAGATGTAATGACAAAGGGAGGTGCGTGGGGCTGTGTGTGTGTGTTTATGTATTCATGTTAGTACTAACCACAAGAGAGCAAGAGTCTAGAATTGCATGATCAGACGGGAGAAAGTGATTAAATTATCAGCAATGGTAACAAAGGATTAATGCAGTGACTATCTTAGAAGAGAATCATGAATGGATTGATTTAGAGTACCTCTGCTTGCTAGAGGAAACTTCAACCAACCAACCAACTCACCCAACTAAGCCGCTGTTCAATATTTCTTGATAGAGGACTTTTTGTTTTTTTTAAGGGACATAACTCTATGTAGTTAAAACTACTACTTCGTAATACTTATTGCAACTAGTTTAAATTATTTTTTTATCTAAATCAATTTGATGATATAATAAAATGTTATTTACATTTTAAGAACACTTTATATTTCTTTGGCACTTCTCTATTTTCCTTATATTTTACATTTCCTCTGGTATCTTTTATGTAATAAGCGTATACAGTACAGTGATGTCCTTGTAATCGTGCTTTGGTGGCAGGCAATGCAATATAAAAGAAGAGTTCTATATTAGGGTCTATGGATGTCTGTTCTCAGCAATTAGCTGTATGATTTTGGAAAAGTCAACATTCTATCCTTTGTAAAATGAGTGGGCTAGAGTCTGTGATCTCTGAGGTTCCCTCTGGATTTATAATTATTTTATGATTCAGAGCTTATTTTTTATATTTGTACACATCTACTTTAAAATCAGTTATATCTAAGATTTTAATGCTGGGTCCTTGGTCAGGAACAAAACTACCAGTAATAACATTGTTACTACGGGAAAATACAGTCTTCTTTAAAATAATCCAATTTAAGGGGCATCTAGGTGGCTCAGTCGGTTAAGGGTCTGACTCTTGATTTCAGCTCAGGTCATGATCTCAGGGTCTTAAGATCAAGCCCCACATCAGGCTCTGTGCTCAGTCGGGAGTAGGTCATGATCTCAGGGTCCCTCCCTCTGCTTGTAACGCTCTCTCTAAAATAAAATTTAAAAAACATAAAATAATCCAATTTAAGATTCAATGTCTAGAAATGCAATATGAGGAAAAGCTGAAATATATTGTGCCTAAATCATCCTCATAATATTTAGGCCTCCTTCGCCTCCCACATTTATTCAGTAATCTTACTTCCACTCTTTCCAGCAAGCTCTTATTCTGCTCACAAGCCTTTACTTGGTTTTACTGACACAAAAGACCAGTTATATTTTTCAGTGGACCCTATTTTTCCTCCATGCGTTAGTATTTTTGGTTTTCAATAAAGGTTATTCAATTTTTCCAGAGCTGTACATTGGTCAAATATGGAAAAGGACATGTAGATGGTAGACTCAAGAGGGAGGGAGGAAAGTTATGGTGAGGGATAATTACTATGCGCAGATGCTATATCTCCAAGTCCTAGACATTCTCTTTACAATACTCTATTATTCGTGCTAATTTATCCCCACCTATTCTTCAGTAAGGGCAGCTGGGAGCTTATCTTTAAAAACCCAAGAATAAAGCACACAACAGGAATATTTTATTTCTGGGACTAAAAAACTAATAAATATTGTAACAAATATTAATAAATGTTATAAGTAATGGTAAGGGTCAAAAAGTACATTAAAACTAACTTTGACAAAGAGTAAAATTCAGTAGAAATGATTTTTAAAATCTCGGTTTGCTAAAAAATATCTCTGTGGTATCTATCCCTATTTTAAAATGAGAGAGGTAATCGATACATAAGTAACTCTGATGTAAAAGTATGAAACTTGATGTGTTAAAGATAAGATTACATAACATATGAAAAATACCATAGAAAATTGTAAAAAACAGTAACAATTTGTTTTGGCTGAAAATCAAATCTGAAGTAGGCCTTTACAAAGAGGCCTTACTTCCTGGCACTCACTTTTGGGCTCTACTGCCCTTCTTTCGGTTCCTCTAAAGCACCTGTCTGTTTTCCCACAGGCCTTTGCAGCTAGCTCTCCTTCCTCAATCAGGAGTACTCATGCTGCACAGTGACCCTTCCTTGCCAGCCCTGCCACACTTTGCAGAGTTGGCACCACCTCATCCTTTGGAGCTTAGGGCTCAAAATCAGCTCCTCACACTGGTTAACCAGCTAATTTAAAAAATAGGTTTTCCCTCTCAGTTTGCTTTTTACCATCTCACACCTTTTCCATCATAAAATGTACCACAATTTGTAATTATGTTGTTGATTTTTCTCAGCTATGTACACCCTGAGCAGTCACACACACTGACAGGCACTTCTAGGCACTTAATCAGTATGTGCTGAATACATTTTAAAAAAAGGGGAAAGGAAAAAGAAATAGCCAGATACACTGAAGCATAATTTTAAAACCACCATTTATAAATAAATGTATTTACATCTATGGTGCCAAATTTCTTTAAAAATTTTATTCCATGATTATGAAAAATAATTTATAACCAAAACAATATGTGAATAGTTATAATGTTCTCCCCAGCACCCTGCCCATGACAATGATTACAGCATCTAAAATGCACAAGACAAATGGGGCGCCTGGCTGGCTTGGTCAGGGAGCATATGGCTCTTAATCTTGGGGTTGTGAGTCTGAGCCCCATGCTGGGTGTGGAGATTGCTTGAAAGTAAAATCTTAAAAAAGTTAATACAATAAAATAAAAATAAAATGCACAAAATCAAGACCATCTAAAATATTTTCTGTATAAGAAGAGTGAACAGAAGCTGAATAGCAGACAACAGAAGGACATAAAATTTTGGATGTAATTCTAAACTTTGCAGTTAATACCTGTAGTATCTTGCTTGGTCATAAAGGATTCTACACCTGTAATAGTTGGAGGCCGAGGTAATCGCCGTGCAATACAAATCAAACATGACTGGAAATCTGCCCAAAACAAGAAAGGGAAGTTGAAGAAAAGAAGGCAGAAAACAGTTCACATCTATCATTTGCCATTAATGGTTTTCATAAAAACAACACATGTTATACGATCTGACGCAATAGTGGAGTCACTCTGATCTAATAATATAATATTAGAGATAAAATTCCTGGTAACCAAAAACTGGCAGCTCCGGGTGGAGATCTAGTTAGCATAAATTAATCCCTTTCGCATTGAATGTCCGGACATAAACCAGAGGAGACGGACACATTTAATGTACTTGGGTGGTAACAACTTGAAGAAGTAGTTTTCACTAGATTTAAGGAACACAGTGATTTTTTTAAATACAGTTTTTAGTCAATTTCCTCTATTTATCAGTACTTAATGGCTACAAAGACTATTCTCATAACCACTGTGCAGATAATAATTACCATATGAGAAAAACATTTGACTCTTTCTGAAGAAGCAATTATTTTGCCCTTGATGGAGGACTTCATGTTTTAGGATCTATAATTTTTTCCAAGTCCCATTTCTAATTTTTTTGAGTGCTACACACAATATCACACAGCTAAACATGAGCTTCAATCATGTAAGACAGACTGGCACTGGCATGTGTTTTTGTAAAAAGTCCTCAGTTGACTGTGGCACCCATTTGTGGGTGAAACCTGCTACGTGCATGACCTTTCTTATATCCAGTTAATTTCTCATCTTTTACCTTCCCCGGTCCTTACTCCAGTTTCCAATTTGTGGTGTCTTCACTTAGCTTTACTTAAGCTTTACTTAGTCTAAAACAGACTAGCTCATGTGCAAAACTCATCCTCTGTCACATATTTGACTAATGCCATGTTGATACCATGTTCGTATTAGAGCTTCAGCTGTGTTTTCATCTGTTCATACGCTTTCTCCTTATAAATTACCTTGCATGGCCTCAAAAATGCTAACTCTATCCTCCAACGTTCCCCACACTCTAAACTTGAAACTTTCTAAAAATCAGAGCTGTTCAACAGCCTGCTGCATCTGGTACACTTCCAACTGGCAGCAGTTAGCTACGTCTCTTATTTCTAGGCAGCAAGTTGGTTTGAATTTGACATTTTAGTGGAATGCCAGCTTAAAACTGAGAGTGGGGGCGCCTGGGTGGCTCAGTCGTTAAGCATCTGCCTTCGGTTCAGGTCATGGTCCCAGGGTCCTGGGATCGAGCCCCGCATCAGGCTCCCTGCTCTGCAGGAGGCCTGCTTCTCCTTCTCCCACTCCCCCGGCTTGTGTTTCCTCTCTTGCTGTGTCTTTGTCAAATAAATAAATAAAATCTCAAAAAAAAAAATGAGAGTGTGGGGGCATTTTAAAGGGGTGATTCTAGATGTTGGCAATTTTTTTTCTTAAGTATTAGGAAATAACATAGCTGAATAGACACTATAATACATAATATAGTGACCCAAAATACTATCTGAAAAGGCTGTTTATAATCAATTACCTCCCTGATCTTTAAAGCCACGGAAAAAGCGATCAAACACCTTAAAATCACCCTTTGTTTTACCTTCTCCATCCTCTTGAATTGATTTTGGCTGTGACACAGTGAAACACTGCATGACTTCATACCGCTGGCAAGCTTCTTGGTTCTCGGTGCCTGGCTCATCTGGAGGGTGAATTAGCATCCTGCAGTTAAAGGTATGGCTATTTCGTCGTGTTGCCTCCTGAGGCCAAGGAACTCCATTTACTGTGGAAGAAAAACTGATTATATGGCCACGAATAGGGTGAAAAACTCTGAGGATACAAAAGACATACATTTAGCCATCTGCTTTATTAGATATTCAGATTAAAAGACAGATCTCTTCACATCTAACATTATCCTGAGGCAACAGAATACTTATCTTCCTTAGCAAATCTAAACGTCTACCAATTACAAAATTGTAAAATTTCTAAGAGATTGTATAGGATTTCCCCCCTCAAAAATAAGACCTTACATATTCCTAATTCATTAACAGTCTTTACAAACAGTTAAAGACAAAAATTAAAAATTAATAATTAACAGCTTACTACTCTTTTACTCAGATTTTTATAGCAGTTAATTAATGCACTTTTCCATTTATTTCCAGTTACACCCTGGAAATGAAAAAATGATTGAAAACCACAGATCCATTGTTAAGCAGGAGTTTTAGCCTGGTAGGTATGTATTCTTAAGGACGGGCTTGTGAAAATGTGCCCCTTTTTGGGGAGAGGATTCCAAGTTTCTCAAAGGAGACTGTGACTCAAAAAAAAATATTTAGATTAGACAGAGACCAACCTTGGCTTCTTCAAACCATTTTTCTCACACTTTATTTTATTTGTACAGTTTATATGCAACAATGCCTTGAATATAGTGGGTAGTCAATAAGTTATTACATAAAAATTGGGGTGCCTGTTGGCTGGGTTGGTTAAGCTTTTGATTTTGGGTCAGGTCATAATCTCAGGGTCATGAGCTGAAACCTGTATCGGGCTCCACACTGGGCATGGAGCCTGCTTAAGATTCTCTCTCTCTCTCTGCCCCTCTCCCTCACTCCCTGCCTCTCTAAAAAATTAAAAAATAAAAAATAAGTTATTACATAAAAATGACTGTTAAAACATAAATGTTGCCTGATTTGATATAAGAAAACTGAATTCAGTTATAGAAAAGATGTCTGTACATTTCAAATGATCACCACTGTGTGATGGGTCACTTTTTCCCAGTTAACAATGCTATATTCAAACCATGGTGGCAGTCAGAGTGTTTTTAAGACTCTTCTCTCGCCATTCCCAACAGTTTTTTTATTTTGTCCTCTTCACTGACCATCCTTCCTTTTTAGTATCTCATTAGCCTGTAACTGTTAGAGGAAATCATGGAAACAAACCTATACTGGAGGAAGGAGTCTTGGTTTTGCTATGAGCTAGCTGTGAGGTTTGGGTTATTTTATCTTTGTACCATTTTTAAAATAAAGGAATCCAGGGGCACCTGGGTGGCTCAGTCGTTAAGCGTCTGCCTTCAGCTTAGGTCATAATCCCAGGGTCCTGGGATCAAACCCCACTTCGGGCTTCCTGCTCAGTGGGGAGCCTGCTTCTCCCTCTCCCTCTGCCTGCCACTCTTCCTACTTGTGCTCTATCTCTCTGTCAAATAAATAAATAAAATCTTAAAAAAAAATAAAGGAATCCAGTATATTATCTCTCAAGTCATTCATACCCTAAAATTCTATAACAAAACACGTAAGACCCCTTGATAATTCAAATATCAAACTGGTGATTTTAACAGAAATAATCATTTCAGGTCCCCAGGTACTATAAACACATAACTACTCTTTTCAAAGAAGAAATAAAGCTTCCATTCTATTGAGTGATCAATACAGAAAATAAAGAGTTACAGATAACATTTTATTTGCATGTGTGATTTAGTTACATAGAATTTCTAGTCAAGCCCCTCCCCTTACTTTTAGAGCACACACAGGCAAAGGAATAGGCACAGGGTTTAGCAAATGGAACAGAGGTTGGAAATCAGACCCCCTCTGTCCTCTCAGCCGGGCTCCTTTGTAGCAAACAATCTGTCCAACCATACTTGAAACTTCTGAGTTGAAGCCACTTATATCCAAAAATGTCCGTTTTAATACATATAAAATATGACAGTATATTTTTCCCTCCCTCCCTCCCTTTTTTCTTTTTGAGCAGGGTGGTAGGAAGGATATACATTTGTCTCTTTCTTGGACATAATCAAAACTGAAAACAAAGGAAATTTCAAGGAGAAGCTTCTAGTGGCAAGGCACCTGACGGCTCTGCTTCTTACTACTGTCACATGACTAGGGCATAACGAGAGGAACAGGATAAAAGGAATGCTCTCTATCAGCTATTTGATGATACTCTCCCTTCATATTTACATATCAGGCTGAAATTAAATTTAAAAATATTTTTTGTATGTTATAACATTCTAGAATAATACTATGTATTATAAATATAATAATTGTATAATGGAAAAAAAGCTATAGAGAGTTCATATTCCTTTAAAAAACACATTGCTTTGTACCTAGTGATTTTGGGAGCAGATTCTTCACAAACTCTGCATGATCCCCCACATGCAATATGCTGTAGACACTGGTATTCATTAATTCCTCCTGATTGTAACCCAAGTAGCTGGTCACATTCTCTGACACAAATACAATTCTCCCTTCACAGTTCACAACAAAGAAAAATCCATCCAAAGCCTGCAAAGCCAAAAAAACAAAAAAAGGATTAAGAGATTAGGATGTTAAAAAAATAAAAGAAAAATAAACACATACATTTCTCTATTGAAAAAGAGATCAGAAATATATGTCAAGTTAAAAGAAAAAGGGAGCCTGAAGAGAAGACATAATATTGCATGTTTTCTGTAGAAGGGGAAGGATTTTGAAACAGACTGTACGGTAAAGTACAGCAGGCATGAATGAGTGTATCAACCCTCTTTCTTAGAGAGAAACTTTATGGTAGCAGATGTGAAGCAAGTAATTGATATTCACGCAGTCATAAACATCTCTAAACTATAGGTTAAGACCTGGTCTCTACCCTCAAAGAACTTGGGGTACGGTGGTCGAGAGACATAGACATAATAAAGTACCAGTAATGCAGTGTCAGAGTCATACA